CAAATTATGGGGTTTTATTCATTAAAAAAGGGGGATTTTCCAGTTTTCGGACAATAACTCAAGAATGCTTTCACCAACTTGCAAGAAATTGTGGTGAATCTATTGACACGAGCTCCCTTTCGATTTTTATAAATTTAAGATTTTACGTTTTCGAGTTACAGGGTTTTATTCATAAAAAAGGGGGATTTTCCAGTTTTCGGACAAAAATTCAAAAATGCTTTCAGCAGTTCTCATGAAACTTTGGTGAATTGTGTATATCTATTGATGTAAGCTCCGTTTTGATTTTCATAAATTTCTAATATGACATTGAGAATTAATTGAACTTTATTTGTTTATAGTCTGACAACAGCTTTACTAAGAATTGCGCAACAGCAAGAAATCTTTAATTAAATATAAATTCAATTCATATAACCAATTTCAAGTTCTTTGACTACATTTATTCAGAAACCTTTAATATATCAAATATTTAATTACAATCCAAATTCAGACCTGTATCAGGCTTGAATATTGTGTCCATTTTTGCCCCAACTGTTCAATGTCGGACCTCTGCGGGCGTATCCAGCTGCACTCAGCGAAGCAGTTTTTTCTAATTTTATAGCCTCCAAAACAGGTACTATTGGACCAAAATATTGAATAACGAGCATAATTACACACAAATTAATGTTCATGAGTAGTATGGAAATTTTCCAACAATAACATTTGAATAAATATGCGGATCCAGCACATTTCTGTGCTTATATTTCATAATGATTATTTAAGTACATTTAAAAGCAGGTGCCAGATATACTCAAGGAAACAGGTTAAAGACAAAACATGCAATTAGCAGTTTTAAATTGGAGAAACTGGATTTTGAATCTAACCGTCTTTTTTTTCATTTGTAAAATAGAGCTTTCCATGAGAGCTTTTAGTACTTTGATTATGGTTTTCACTATGATTTTGCTTTGCATTAATAAGAAACAGCAGTTGAAGTATAAAATCACTCATTTTGATAAGAATTGCACCCTTATTTGTGACTTTGTGTTAAGAAAAAGATTTTGTTACATGAAAATTTTTATAAAAATACTATAATAAATAGCCGTACAGTGATATATAATAAGTATATTTCTAAATATTTGCCGTGGGTGGATTTTTTATATTTCTTTAAGCTATCATAGTAGTTCATTTTGATATATTCATCTTTTAATTACAGCTTCACCTTTTCTATATTTTAGCATTTCTTCAGGTCCTAAATTTGGTAAAGTAGCCAAATCCTCAAACACCTGTTTAATAAATATAGAGGCCCTACTGAAAAAAATTAAATATATATTTATTACTTACATAATATTATTTCCTTAATAATGCTTTATCACATGCATTGGGCAAAAGAGATATTTATCATGGCTACAACTGATTATTTGTTGGATTAAAATCCATAAAAAAAACCTTGAATTTGGAAATTTTCCCGTAAAAAAGGGTGAAAATAGATGACGCTGTAAACTCTGCTATCCGATAAAATTTAAGAAAACAAATTTGCAAGTGATATTGGCATGGCCTAAGTGTTGTGTGTACCAAATTTCAAGAGATTCCGCAAAATTCACTCCTGGACACTTTTGCATGGTTTTCTGTGAGACAAACTCTTAAAAGAATGATATACTAGTACTACCTATAGAGACTATCAATAACATGAAAGTAACGTAAAACATGGTATTTTATTTGTAGAATTCGATTGATAAACTGGGTGTGCTGAATACGGGCCTTATAAATGTTTTAAATTCAGTTTGATGTCTGACTTTTTGTTTGTTTCCTTGTAAGAGATGATACAATCGTTCTTTTCAAATGTGATGTTATGTTTAGAAACGCCCTATTATAAATTCTAAGTAAACTAGATCACGGTTTTAAATAGCAATACGTATTATATTATATAATGCATATGGTTTTCCGATTATTGTAACTTCCATTTCATGTCTTATTTTATACACTTACTTAAAAATGGTAGCATACGCTATAAATACATTGCTTTGGGGTTCCATATGACATATTTTGTTAATAGTGAACAAACAGGTAAAACATGCTACACCGAGGAACAAGTGATCAGTATGCTGGAGTGTCTTATTGACAACATATTTGTTGAATTTGGAGGTAGACTTTTTCAACGAATTGTCGGCATATCTATTGGAACGAACGTTGCTCCTCTCCTTTCCGACCTCTTCTCATATGAGTAGGAGTTCGATCAGTAACTTGTCAAAAACAAAAAGATCATTTAATTTCACATTTAGATATATTGATGTTGTTCTTTCTATTAACAATCCAAACTTTTCTGACTGGGTTCCATTAATATATCCTCTAGAACTAGAAATTAAAGAAACAATAGACGAGGCTTCCTCTGATTCATTTTTACACTTATACCTTGAATTTGTTATAAGTGGTCATCTCAGTACCAGAATCTATGCCAAACGAGACGATTTTAATTTTGATATTATAAATTTCCGTAACCTTAGCAGCAATTCACCAACTTCACCTGCATATGGGATATACATTACCAACTCATTCGGTATTCAGGAGCTTGCAGCTGCTACTCAGATTTTATAAAAACGTCACCAGTATCTGAGCAGAAAGTTGACGAACCAGGGTTGTGTCAAAGAACGTATCGTCCTTTTTCTAAAAAAGTTCATCGGAAGATACCAATACCTTGTTAATAAAAATTCAGTATCAACTCCACAAATAATACATGGTGGTCTTGAAATATAGATTGTAGGTACTGATGTTGTTTATCATCTTAATTACGTGTTGTAGTGTTCTTTTTATTTGTATTTGTATATTTTCAACCTTTACTGTTTAGTCAATTTTTTTATACATCCCGCCATTGTGTTATTGTAATTTGTGTATTCTTGACATTCATTATTATTTATGTGTTTTGTCTATAGAGTTCTTACATGCCATTGTGTTTTTCTTTGTTGACATAGTTGCTTGTTTTTATAGTGATTAAGATAATAGCACAATGTTGCCTGCTGTACCCAAATTTTTGACATTTTTACCAACTATGTCTGTTTGTTTTGCTCACACATTGTCGTCAATATAATGGAACTTTACGCGGCTGTCATACAAGTGAGAAGTTTAGCTAGGTATAAATCCAGGTTTAATACACCATTTTCTACGTAAGGAAATGCCTGTACTTGTTGTCCATTAGTTTGAAGTGTTTGAGTTTTGATTTTGCCATTTGTTAAGGTACTTTCCGATTAGAATTTTCCTTGGATTTCGATTTGAATATCAGTATCCTACCTAATGTGTGCATCCCAATGTTAGTAACATCAAGTATATAAGAATAGAGGAATACTTTGAATAAATTAGATGAAACTTATTTTTAACATATGAGCTATGTCGGATAGAAATGGACCTTATGCAAATGCATGTATACATGTACATGCATTTATATGTATAAGACTTTGATTGATTTTGGAACATTTAAATACAAAATAAAAGACGAATTATGGTCTGTTTTGTAGGGTTCTGAATTATCAAACAGTTAAGACTTTGCATACAGTTTTTTTTTTCAATCCTAAATAAGTTAACAGATGTATTGATATTCATTTGTATGGTCAATTTCTAATTGATGCAGCTCATATAATAATTCATTAACGAAATCCAAGACGTGAATTATGAATGCTCCTTTTGTAATTATATTTTTTCCTCTTAACTTTATAAGATTAGCTTATTTCACAAGAAAGAGTTGTACATTGTAGTACATGAAACTATTCTTGATTTTTGTATTTTAAATATCCTCTCAGTCAAACTAGCAAAAATTCGTTTGGTGTACACATGCACATGCCCACATAAGACCAGTCTTATTTAGGTAGATTGACACTCTTAAACTAAGCATATGTTAAAGGGTAGATGTCTTTGACACAGTGCCTATGTCATTAGTCGGTATCATATTTTGTTTTATTCAAATTTTTAACATATAAGCTAAAACGGTGAAAACTGTTCTGTCACGTTAAATTAGTGTTTTGGCTTAAACATCCTTTATCTTGTCAGCTAAAATTCTTACAGATTATATTATACATGTAAGCATACAATCTAGATTCATAGACTTATTCGTAAAACAAATGAAAGGCGAATTAACTACTGCAGAAACATTTTGCACGAATGGATTTAACCTTGGGAAGGATAATTAAACAGGCTATAATTACTTCATGCATATTTGAAAATGTTAAAAAAAAATCAAGAAAACAATAATTAATACAGATATTTTTACTTTTCAATCACAAAAACGATAGATCTTAATAATCTATTCAAAACAACGTGTACTTATTTTATTCAAAACAAACGCTTACCCACAAAATCTTTATACATGCACATCGATTGTATATACAACAAAATTCTTCTGAAAAAAAAACCAAGTACGATGACCTAAAACAAAACTAAGACTGTACATTCATTAAATGACTGTCAAGAAAAATTGAAGTAAAAATATATCGTTCAAAAGTTTTGTGTTAAGCTATTTTATTTCAATTAATAAAACTGTTTACTTTATAATAAATGTTAATTCTTCAGTTGAACCTATTAGAATAAGGCGTATCGGCCTTTAGTTAACGTTGTAATGCAATTTGAGTTAGTAGTACATTTAACTGTTGCCGAGCCGTTCAATAGAACCAATGAAATAATTGAGATTGACGATTGAATATACAAGAAAATATTTCTGAAAAAACATGTACGATGAATTGAAAAAATTAAGAAATGTACATTTATTAATGTCTATCTCAGTACCAGGATCTATGCCAAACGAGACAATTTTAATTTTGATATTATAAATTTCCGTAACCTTAGCAGCAATTTACCAACTTCACCTGCATACGGGATATACATTATCAAATGTATTACCGAGCCGTTCAATAGAACCAATGAAATAATTGAGATTGACGATTGAAAATACAACAAAATAGTTCTGAAAAAACATGTGCAATGACCTAAATGTACATTTATTGATGTCTATCAAGAAAATTAAAAAAAAAGATATACCGTCGAAAGGTTTTGTTTTACACTTTATTTTCTTAACATTAAATATAACTTTGTAATTTATAATCAATGCTAATTCTTCAGTTTAACCTAAAATATTAAGATCGTCGTTAAAAGACGAAATCTTTTTTTATCTGCAACATATGCTTACATATTTCTATTGCAAATTGCTGGTAGATTCTTTTTAAACGTTGCATTGACGTTGACGTAGATGTAAAAGTTAATTCCATAATTAGAAAATTGAAACAAATACAGAATTGCTTCTGAAAGCCCAAGTTTTGCTGATTTTAATGTAGTTTTTGATGTGGTAAACGAATCAACTACAAAGAAAATTGATATTGGAAGTGTAGTTATTAGAAAATATATACTAGTGAAGAATAACATCCGAGTAAGACTTTTACTACTTCTTTTGTTGCGCTTTTTATAGTCTTTATCCCGTACACATGATTCGCGCAATCGTCCAGAGCTCCGTAATGTTTCTCCAATAAAGATATTCATAATAAACATCAGCACAAATGGAAGTAAAGACAACCATACAAGATCAATGACAACATAATATTTTTCTTCATAATTGTAAGATTCAGATGATGTGTTATTGCATACATATTCATTCTGTATCTTCACCAAACCGTTTGTAATAAAAAGAGGACCATCCATTACGAAGCTCATCACTATTGGTACCATAAGAATTATTTTAAGTAGGGATGAAAATTTTGCTGAATAATACTGCAACGGAAACCAAGATTTTACAAACCTCTCAACAGTTATGGAAACAAGTATCCACGACGAAATATGCATTGAAAAATATATCATAAAGACATTCAGTTTACAACTGAAGTCAGAAATGATCCGAATGTCAAAGTCAAACGTTGCTAGAATCCATCGTCTCATTAATCCAGTTATAAGTACGGTAGTGTCCGAAACAGAAAGAATAAAAAGGAAGTTGTAGGTTATCTCTTTCCATTTTTTCAACCGACACAAAACAATAATAATTCCTATGTTTCCAAAAACTCCGACAATAAATATTATTGGTGATATTATTCTCCAAATCCATTTTGTAATTTCCTCTAAAGGTATTGCATTTGTTTCAAAAGGCAAATCGGTAATGTTAATGTTGTCAGAATTATTAAAATTAGTTACAGTTACATAATTTGACGATGTGAATGAACAATTTGTGTATGAATCATTTGTATCTATAGTACTGCTTCCACCTGTTTGAAGACCGACAACCATTAAATGTTTTTCTCTACCAACAGAACGGGTTTCTAACAAAAATTAATCATCTAACGCTTTTCTTATAACAAAACATATAGCAGGTTTACTAGGGTGTATCTATGCAAGGTAATATTCTGTACATTGTTCGTCACTGATATTCCTTTCTTTTTATACATAATAATTTTCACCTCTATACGTGTCAAAATCTTTATACTTCCTCCTTAGATAATCAAAACTAAATTGAAATACGAATCCTTGCTAAAAAATCTGTTGATATTCAATTTGCTTCTTTTTGTAAGTGATTAATTCCTTGTTTGACAATCTGTATGATTTAAAACTTGCTTATTTGTTTACATCAGTATCAAAGTTAGTCAATACTCTGTACACTTTATCTGTTGAAAAAGTTTTCATTGAAATTTATCTATTTAATGTATAGAAACTTTATATTTCTTTTAACATCTACAAACATTTTCGAAAAAGGTTAATAATATTTAAATTATATGTACATTTAATAAAACATCATTTTTGTCTAATAGTTTTAAATATAATTGAAATCATAAAGCCGATAAAGAACATTCGTGGTCCAATACCTGTCAGCTAATTTGTTTGTTTAATTATGTTTTATAATTACACGACTATATTCAAACAACAAAATAAAAGAAAATACTAACACGAAGACAAACAAATAAAAATAGTATTGTGATATCGGTATCATATGTGAGTAGCTTCGAAAAAATTGAAATTTTAACAGTTTTATAATCATACGTTTCTAAAAGGATAACTTGTGTATTTTAATCCGAATTTACTTAAATGTATTGATTTATTCAGTAAAATTCTTTAGCTAAACTTGATTTGTGATGTAATAGATTTTACATTTGATTATGTGAAAAAGTGTCTTACAAAAACTTATGACTTTTATACCATGAAGTAGGCATTAACACTGTCTATGTTCATACATGGTTCAATAATGTTTTTTGAATTGCTCAAGGTCAACTTTCTGCAAATGCTTGTGTGTTTCTTATACTGCATGCTTTTGAATGTTTCCTGACTAATACTTTAGCATAGCTAGACATGCTTTTAAGAGTGACAGACAGATACCATAACCATACTAAATTAATATATACAACAGGTCACAGATAAGGGGGGAAATCTGCACCATTAACAAAAATATTTACACATCTACTTAAGATAAAAGAAAGGGAGGTTTGCGGGTGGGCATTTTGATTTCACGCAATGTGTTAAAATTTATCAAATCAAAAGCTGATGATAAAAGGAAGCGCACACACGGCAAATAGAGGTGATCTCGTGCTGACCCTGCAAGATCATTGACCAATTAGAAGGATGGAATCCACTCACGCACTAGTTTTCTACACGTGAACAAGTGTTATATAATTTAAACTATTAATCGAATAATTAAGTTGGACAGATTTGACCCACTGGCCACTACAGAGACATCATAAACATTTACAGTATGAATTTCTCACTCTTCATGTCAGTCTAAGCTATAAAACTACATAATTAATCTTCCCTACTAGTTTATTTCATTCCGCTTTTCAATTAGCAAATAAAATCGGTTTCAAGACTAACAAACAGATACCATAAACATACTAATATATACCAGAGTCTGAGCTTGTTTCGCTATATGATATAAAAACAGGATTGACGAAAAAGGTCGTTTATTCAAAATCATAAAATGCAAAAAAAGTACAATTTGCAAATAAAACATTTGACATAAAAGTTCATAATTAATATACAATTATAATACATAATTGATATGAAATTACATCAACTAAAATCAAATCAGTTGAATAAATGACAAAGAATAGCAAAGGTAGGGAAAAAGATCTGCCATAAATACACTCTTAAATTAAGAATGGATCCCCACAAAAATTTCAAATTGCAGTTTAAGACCAGGCAATGCTAACATCCATAACATGTTCTCAAAACAAATCCCAAAAACATACATAAGGTTAAATTGAGCCATAAAATTAGGCAAAACAATTATTATAATACTTCAGTAGCCTATCTTTTAGACAGACTGAAATAATGCATGAAGACATCAGACGGCAGGGTATACTGACCTCGTCGCTTCAGCTCATTAAAAATATATAAACCAGAGGCGAAGCTATGTGCTTTTATGGAACGACAATTGTCATCATTAAAATGAAAATACCATTTCTCATTACAATGTTTCATCAGAAACCAAATACAAACAGACAATGCTTCCCCATTGAAAAATTGACAGATATTATAGAATCAAGTCATAAATGTTTAGCAGGATATACTGACCCAAAACAGTTTATTACATTTAAATACTAACTTAAAAAAATGTTCATCCTTATATATTTCAAAAACGCATTCGACTTCCATCTCCCCATCCCTTGCATCACGGAGAAGGGAATTCCCCTAGCTGAGGAGAAGTCGCAGCCCCTATCCTGAAACTGTGTGCTTTATAATATCGAGTGTCTAAAACAATGAACGAGTGAGCCTATTTTAAAGAGGTGGTGCTCCAGACTTAAATTGGAACAAAGATCCAGTTGTATGACCAAACTGTAACAGATACTCATATTGTCCGACCCTACGCGTACACAGCTACTTTGGTAGAAGCCATCTTTATGTACATTTCTATAGATGCATAACAAATGCACTTCTGTAAAGCTGTGTATAAAATGTACATCTGTAAAGCTGTATATAAACTGTACATATGTAAAACTGTATATAAACTGCACATCTGTAAAGCTGTATATAAACTGCACATCCATTACGATGCATATAAACTGTATATTTTAAAGCTGTATATAAACTGTACAGCTGTAGGGATGTTTATAAACTGTATATCTGTAAAGCTATACAAAATGTACATCTGTAAAGATGTATATAAACTGCACATCTGTTCATAAGATCTACAACTTTTAGTATCTTATCCCATATACATTACATATGTATATCATCAAATGCAGTTAATTTACCGTTTTTTACACATATAAACAGATGTACAGTTTATACTTACCTATAAAAATGTGCAGTTAATGTATATTTTTACAGAGGTGCAGTTTCTATAAAGGTTTTAAAAAGTACAGTTTATATACATCTTTATAGATGAACAGTTTGTATACCTCTTTACAGACGTACACTTTATATACAGCTTTACAAATGTAACGTTTATATGCATTGTAATAGATGTGCAGTTTATATACATCTTTACAGATGTACATTTGATATACAGCTTTGCAGATATACAGTTTGTATACATCTTTGGAAATGAACAGTGTATATACATCCTTAGAAATGTATATCAAGATTGCTTGTACTAAAGTAGCTGTGTATGCTCGGGCATTTAATGCGATGAACGTTGCATTAGGTATGACCCTGCAAGGGGCCATAAATTAACGGTTTCTAAAATGAAATGAATTATTTAATCAAACGGTAATCACATTTACATGATTAAGGTAATACGGTGAATTTTACTCACAAGTTAAAATTAAAGTAAAATCATTTTACATGGTCATAATCGATTTTTCCTTACGAAACACAATATGTCGACTTCGAATTAGGAATATAACTTCAAGAACTATCTAAATTGTTTAAATCACAGGCATTTGGGGGCATTTTTTGTTTCTTTATTTTGATCATTTAATTTGTTTTTCGTGAATTAAACTATTTCAAATTATTTTTATTTATTTAATGTGTTCATGTTTCTGTTCATACGATTTTATAATCACAGTAGTTGTTACGTACTGTCCCTATGTTCGTATATGGGAAATAAGATTACAGAAACAGCCCGTATAAACTACTGTTATTATAAGATCGTATAAATAGGAGCACTAATTCATCAATTAAGGGAAAATAAGTAGGTATTAGAAAAATTAAAAACAAAAAATAATCTAAACACCGGGGAAAGAAGAAAATAGTCCATTCCAAAACGCCGATGGTTTCACTTTCGGACGAAAATTTCGACAGGATAAAGGTGCTTTAAATTGACTCTAGCGAAGGCAAGATAGCAGATGCACCAAGATTCAGACAACATGTCAAAGATAAAGGATTTTAGTAACTAACTTGTGCTGATTATTGGGAACGAGCTGTGTGTTCCTGTGAAAGAAGTAAGAATTTATTAAAAAAAAACTAGCGTATATGATCTAAATTCTCATATGGACCGGCACGTTAATAACCAGACGATTATATACTCATATGGTCCAACCATACGTCGGACCATATGAGTAATGGCCATACGCGTATGGTCCAAATACTTATATGGTCCGGAACATATACAAAATGTTTTTCTGATATATAATTTTTTATTGAATTACTATACTGGCCTTGGGATCTTATATTCATATTCATAACCAGCTGTATATATTAATTATGCTATCTACCATTTCTATCATATATCTGTTTGTTCAATTCAACGATGAAAGGGAGGCTGGAATATTCAAACTAATAAGTCGAAAACAAACTGGAATGACATTGCAAAAACCATAAAAGGATAAGACATAATTTTTAAACACATTTAAATAAAGGCAACAGTAGTATACCGCTGTTCAATAGTCATAATTCGATTAAGTAAAAACAATTCCGGGTAACAAACTAAAACTAAGGGAAACACGTTAACTATAAGAGAGAGGAAAACAACGGAACAATAGAAACACTGAACTACAACAAAAGCAAACGCCAACATACATAGAAACGGACTGTGTGATAACAACTGCCATATTCCTGACTCGGTGCAGGACATTTTCAGACAAAATGTTGGGTTAAACTGGTTTTAAAGCTAGCTAAACCTCTCACTTGTATGACAGTTGCATTGAATTCCATCATATTGACAACAATGTGAGAGCAAAAAAAAATTAGACATAATAGGTAAAAACGTCAAAAATTTGGGTACAGCAGTCAACATTGTAATACAAGCGGGATTTTCTCGCTGCGTTGAAGACCCATTGGTGGCCTTCGGCTGTTATCTGCTCTTTGGTCGGGTTGTTGTCTCTTTGACATATTCCCAATTTCCATTCTCAATTTTATTAATCACTTTAAAAACAAATAACTGTTTCAACAAAGAAACAAAAATGGCATATAGACAAATTACATAAGCAAAAATGAAAGACAAGAATTCAAAATTGACCATAGCACAATAACACAATGGCGGGATGTATTTATTTTTATTTATTTAATGTGTTCATGTTTCTGTTCATACGATTTTATAATCACAGTAGTTGATACGTACTGTCCCTATGTTCGTATATGGGAAATAAGATTACAGAAACAGCCCGTATAAACTACTGTTATTATAAGATCGTATAAATAGGAGCACTAATTCAT